GGGGCAGAAGGGGGGACAAGGGGTACATGGGGCCATTTCCATCCCCTGGGCACCAACTGGTGTTGGCAGCCGGAGCCTGGGACTTCCCAGATGCTTTGACCGGCCACATCCGAGGGTAGATCCTGGGGTCTGGGTACCTGCGGGGGCCTCTGTGACCCCCCCAGCCCACCCCCCACCCGGAGAACGGCTGCAGGGTGAGGGACCAGGCTGAGAGCCCCGCTGGGGTGCCCAGGGATGCGGAGAACTTCTCGCCTCCGGGTGCTCCTGGTGCAGGAGAAGGCGATGGGGGGGCCCAGGATGGGAGAGACAATAGTCCCGTGTGGTCGTTCCCAAATGCCATTGCTATTTATACGCCCACGTTTTCAATGCCAGTCCTGCTGCTCGTTTTATTGCCGTTATAAATAGCTGCCAAGTTGCTTGGGAGTTTGTGGAAATTTGGGATTGCTTTCCAGGGGGGAAATCAGGGGCTGGGATGGAGGGTTTTCAGGAGCTGTACCACCCTTTTTTTCTTTTTTCTTTTTTTTCTATTTCTTTGGAACTGTTCAGTATCTTAGCTCTAATAATGAGCACATGGCTCTATAAGGCACGGAGAGTTTCAGCACAGCCAAAGGCTTTTGCTGGCCCTGAATGAAAAGGCTGGGAACTGCAATGGGGAGAAAAGCTGAAGGAAAACAGCCCCTGCAGGGCATCAGCTGGCTCCTGCCCGGCTGTGGATTTTCACAGCATCTCCTCCAGGTTGGGAAACAGCTGATAAACACGGTACCACCGTGGAGGTGAGGGCAGGATGGGTCCATCCCTGCTGTTGGGCTTCGGACACATGTGCTTTGGCTCACCACTGTATCTCCTGGTGTGTCCATATAACGGAAAAAACTGGGGGTTTGGGTGTAGGTTTGAAGGTGACGTAGGATCCAGCCCCCCAGCGAGAGCTTGGCCAGAGCCTGGGGGATGAGGCTTCTCCCCTCCAGGGAACATCGAGGACAGACGCCAAGTCCTGGAGCCGCTTCGCTGCTCCCACCCCTTTCCTTTTGTTCTTGGCCAGCCCACACGGCTCTCTTTCTCCTTCTTTTTTTTTTAATAATAATAATATTAAAAATTAAATAAACGAGCATCCCCAGTATAGGCTGGGCGTACCCCAGGGCTTGAATCGCTGGCGCTTCGAGGCCGTATGAAAATATTGATGGTAAGGGCTGGTCCTCTCCCAGAGTGACCCCACACCTCCACCTCCCCAGGAAATCCCTGGGGCTGCCCCTGCTCCCTCTGCTTCTCCAGCCAGTCCCCAAGGCTGGACAGGATTTTAACAAGGATGCGGTGTGCGGTCTACGGGGTGCTCTGTGAACAAAACCTTCTCTTATGATCTGAAATTCCAATGGGATGAAGCTTTAGCCCTTTGGTTTTTTGGTGATGCATCCAAAAGCTTCCGTTCCTGACCTCTGCCTATTGATGCTGCTGCATTAAATACATTTCCAGCTGCCCAGCCCATCCCTGCCCTGGGCACCAGCAGCCTCAGGAGCCACATCCCACCCACCCTTCCCAGTGAAACCCCTCGAGGGACTGTCAATCAGAGCCCTTCAATGGCATCTGTCGTGCCCCCCCGGCATCCGTGGTGCCTGGAAAGCCCCTGCAGGTGTAAAATGGGGAACTCAGGTCTCTTCAGACCTGCAAAGTCAGGAAGGGGGAAAAGATGCCCCATTTTGCAGAGGAAGAGACTTAAAACTGTTTAAAAAAAAAAAAAAAACAAACCACCCAAAACAAAACTCTGCAAGAAGAGGGGCAGGTTGGTTTGCTAGGAACCAGATAAAACACCCCAAAATGTTGGGGTTTTTTTCTCCTGTGACCAGTCAGGAGGAGAGGTTTTTGTTGGTGGTTTGGGGAAGACTCGCCGAGGCTGAGTGGGGCTTCAAGCTGTTCATGGGAACCAGGCTGTGCTGTGATTCCTGATGGGCAGGAAAATGGGTAAAACCTTTCCTCCACCCCCAAAAAAGGAGCTGGCGAGAGGGTTCAGCCCAGAACCCTCCATGCAGCCACTGTTTTGCAGATCTGGGGGTGGGGGATCGATTCTAATTTGGCAAAATATTGAGCTGCTGAGACCTCGGGCAGTATTTTTCCCCGGTTTGCGAGGAAGGGGTTGGAGCTGCTTTTTAAGAAAAGCTTTGAAAAAAAATCTCCCTGTTTCCCTGGGATCCTGCCCGGGAGCAGCCCCCCCAGGCCCAGCTAATCACAGCCACTGACTCGCCGTCCCGGGGTCTCTCTAATCCCACCCTGGAGCGACTCGTGGCCCCTCGCCCGTCCCGCAGCCGGGATTTAATCGTGCACCGTGTGACAGAGCTTTGCCTGGAGCTGCTGCCAAAGAATCCCATCGGCTGCCCTCCCCCCCGGCCTGTTTTGGTGTGAGGAACGGGGAATTGCTGATCCCTGTGCAGCTTTTCTGAAGGTTTAGGGCTACCTCTGCACCCCTGACCATCCCTCCCCACCCTGGGCCGGAGGGCTGAAGCCCCCTGGTGACACGGGGACCACAGCCCCATCCCAGAGAGCGTCTTTTCTGGTCTCCTCTACCCTGTTTCTGTGTGGTTTTTAGCCAAACTGTGCTTTGCCAGGGTGGATAGATTTGTAAAACCTCATTAAAAGAGTGGCAAATCCCACCCCGCCCCCCCAATAATTTTGTCAGGTTGGGTTTATGTTGTAGCTGAACAGTGGGATTTTAATCCCTTCTCCTTGTTGCCTTTCTCCAGGTCGTGGGGCGTGTTGAGCAGCACGAGTCCTGCAGCCCTGCCTGTAAACCTCTGCTGGAAGAACCACCCCTTCTTCCTTCCTTTTTTAAACGTTTTTCCCTTTATTTTAACTACTTTCTGGTCCTGACAGCTTTTTTGGGGGGTTCCTGTGAGAGTTGTGAACTCTTTCTGTAACACTTCACACCCAGCCCTGTCTCCATCCCCTGCTCTTTGCTGTGGTCTCCTCTAACCTGGGCTGGGAGAGCGTTCCCAGGAGATTCCCGGTCCCTTTGGGGATGGACATCGCTGCCCCCACCTCATTTTTCGGCTTTTGGTGAATCCTGCCTCATCCTTTCTCCTCATCCCGGATCCCACCTTTCCCCCCCTGCTCTGGAGCCCCCGCCAGCAGCCGGGAGATGCTTGTCCCGGTGGGATCAACCCATTTTTCCCTTCCATTCCATATGGGATGCTGCCCCAGCTGAAATGAAAAATTAATCCTGGAGGCGCCTGTGGGAAAGGCCCCTCCAGGGGTGTATTTGGGCCACGGCCAAGGATTTTCTGGGTGGATTCAGCCGTGACAGGACCTTCCCGAGGAGCAGCATCTCCTGGGGTGAGTAGTGCTTCTGTCTTTGGGCTCGGGGCTTGGGCTTGTTGGGGTTTTGCTGGGATGCAGAATGGGGAAAAATCTTTGAAATCTCAGTTATTGTTGTTATTATTATTATTTTTATAGCTTGGCAGCCAGCGGGTTGTAATATCACTTGCACAGTGTGAGTCTTTCCCCGATCACCCGCGGGCAGGGGGAGGACTCATGGGATGGGTGCGTGGGGCATGGAGAAGGGGGTGGAAATCCCAGATTTCCAGAGTTTCCCACTCCGTTAGGGATGGCAACAGCCCCAGGGAGCCGCTTGCCTCTGTGGGAGCTGGCAGCATCCCCTGCAGCCCCGGGCACCACCCAGGGGGAGCCCCAGCAGCTCATTCCGTGTGAGGGGCACCCAGGGAGAAAATCCTCCCAAAACTAATAACACCAAAGCAGTGGGACGGGGAGGGTTAGTGTGGCCACAGCTCTTGGGTGTGGATTCTCAGGTGTGCAGTAAGGGCTCTACTGGAGCCACCTCAATAACTTTGCAAAAAAAATCCCTTTAACATTATTCCCATAGAAATACACGCTGGTTTAAAAATACTTTTTTTTCTTTAATTTCCTGCCTCTGTTTCTAGTGCAATACCTGAGGAGAGGTGCCGGGTGGGAGGGAGCAGGCTGTGTCCCATCTCAGATAAGGCTCGTGGGTTGGTTTGGATCAAGTTGCCGAGGTCTCTGACGTGGCCGGGAGGAAAAACTACCCCGGAGAAAGAGGAGGAAAAACCTGCTGCCCGAGGTGAGGGTGGAAAAATAACCAGGGCTGGAGCACTCAGCCACCGCCGAGCACTTCTGGGGGCTGCCAAAGCATCTTTCACCTGCCTTTAGGTACAGACACGCTGGGGGTGGTGGTGGGGGGTGGATGGCTGTGCTCAGCCGGGGCCGGGGGGGCAGGTAACTTTTTCTCCCTGCTCTGTGCATTAACCAAACGCTTTTACAGGGAAGGGGGATGGTGCTACATCCCCTCCTTCCCTCTTTCTCTAACCACCCCTGAGCTATTTCCAATATTTTCTCTGTGCCCCCCCACCCTGGCTATTTACTGCAAACTGAGAAGCGAACCCCCAAAGCTCCGCGGAGGCTCCGGTGCTGCTCCCCCTCCCCTCCGTGACTTTTGGCCACACGTGTGGGTCCCCGGCCCGGCTGGCATCGCTGAGCAGTGGCTGCTGGCCCTGCCAGGCATTTGGTGGAGTTTGGGCAGCGGGGGTTTGCGGTGGAGCCAGCGCCGAGCCCCGCGG